TTATCCCCTTGTAGTCTAATGCGATCCTCCTACTTATTTACCCCACCCACCAATTTTTGTATCGTCTGCAGACTTACACATCATCCCTCCCACGTTCAAGTTTAAATACTTCATACAAATCACAAAAAGCAAGGACCTCAATCTGACCCCTGTGGGACCCTACTGGTCACAGACTTCCAGTCCAAAAAAACACCCCTTAAATATCACCCTCTGCTTCCTGCCACTCAACTAATTGTGGATCCAATTTGTTAAATTTCTTTGGAACCCAATAGGACTCTTATCTTTGATATCAGACTCTCATGCTGCATCTTGTGTAAAGCCTTGCTTAAGTCTGAGTAGGCTATGTCAAAAGCATTGTCCTCATCTACACAACTGGTCACCTTTTTGAAAAAAAATGAATCTGTTTTTAAACCTGCCAGACCGCTCAGAACCTCTTCTGTCTATGCTAATTTCTTTGTTTCACAGACCTTCACCCTGATTTCTATACCCATACCCTCCCCCTCGCTTGAAAACACCAACCCAACGTATTCATTTCGAACCCTATCTGCATCCTCTGGCTCAATGGACAAGTTACCACTGTGGTCCTTAATCGGCCCTACTCGTTCCCTCGTTTATTCTTTTACTGTTAATGTATCTGTAATATAACAGGATTTTCCTTTATCTGCTAGCATCCTTTCATATCTCCTTATAGGTTTCCTAATCTTCCTTTCAAGTTCCCTCTTGCATATTCTATGCTTCTCTATTTGAGTCCTCAGTATCTGCCATTAGTCTCCCTTTTTCTCATAATCTAGTTCTGTGTGTGCCATAATATCCAGGGTTCACAGCATTTGAGGTCCCACACCTTCTTTCTTTGGAACATGTTAACCCTGCACACTCCATATTTCCTTCTTGAAATGGTTTCTACCTACTGTAATTGTTTCCTTTGATGTCTCAAACATTGATGAAGTTACCACTTAACCTTCTGAATTTCAGAAAATTCAATCTTAGTTTTAATAATAATTTCGCGTTGTTTCATCCCTTGGAGTCCAGGTATCGCTGGAATAAATCTGTGTCCAAGGCCGATACACCATTCCTGAAGTGTTATGATACTCCAACACAATGCACTGGTCTGCCACCTTGTATGCTAGCCCTCAAGATTTCAAGTCTAGCAATCCTTTGGCCTTTCTGCACTTGATCATGACATTCTAATAATGTATACACTAGAATTCCAATTAACTTAGGACTCTCCACTGTCTCTAGCTTTTCATCATTTTGAGAATTTTTTTTTCTTTTATTGGATGATGTTACATTTGACAATACCATGACCATATGTTGCATTCATTTAGTTGGTCAATATTTTGTGCTTGTATGTACACTGTGTATAATGTTGCCTGTCTTTGTGCTATTAGCAAACTTGGCTATGTGGCTTTCTGTTCCATCATCTAAGTCATTATGAAATGCAGTGAAGAATTGAGGCCCCAAGCGGGATTGCCAGGCTAACCATGCTACCCTCTCTTGTGTGCTCTTTTATTCTGTAGCGTGGGTATGGAGAGGTCAGCTATTTTCAACCTTCCCTTTTACCGAGTTGATCTGATATCTGAAGTGATGCTCTTGTTATTGCAGCTACCTAGTGTCTAGCATCTTCTCAAATTTGTATCATTTTGATCATCTCCCTCAAGTGAGGGGTGGCAATGAGCAGTGATCACCTTGATGCACTGAGTCACTGCCTATTTTGAGGCCCTGCTCTCAGCAGTGTCCTGATTTTCTAAGATACCCATGGCTGATAGTTTAGTGATGCTTCATCTTGCCTGAACACACAAGGTCATTGAGACTTTTCTGACAATGGATTGGAGTTCTACCAACAAGACTATGGTTGCTGATCTCTCTGATGACTTCTGGCTATGCTGCCTCTGTTTACCAGGCTGACATTCTGCTGCCATTGTTAGGGAACAAATTGTGGTGCCAAGCTCACAGTTTCTGTACCATAACCTCCAGGGAGATGTGGACACTGCTTTGCCACAGCTGTGTCCCTTGTACTGAGCCCTTACTGCTGCTTCTTTCTGTCTGTGTTACTCTGAAAATTTACAAGTGCCCTTTAGATGGGTTTTATCATTTCCAGCCCCCACTTCCTACTCTCACCCACCACCTGTAATCAATCAGATATTAGAAGGTGCCCCTCTAAATTGGTTGTCTCCTGGAAAGTACTGACAACCAATGTGCTCCTGCCTCCCATAGGGGTCAGTACCTGGACAGGTTCCCGATTTTGGGTATCAGAGATTGGGAAAATCCAGTCCATCATAAGTCTGATTATTTTTGACCTCACTAGCTCACTGTTTATTCAGCAAATTTATACATTCTCAATTAATTACAGGCAAACATTACCCTACAACTTCTCCTATCTGACACCATGCAGGACTATCCTCTTTGATCCACAGTATTAGTCAACCATTTTTACATTTATTAGTATGTCCATTTATGTTTTACAGGCTATAGTAATTGCTGATGTGATTCAAGTTTCAGTTGCATATACATGATGAGTATTTCCCCGAGATCACCAATTGCTTTGGACAGAGTGGTCTGTTCAAACATGCAGTTTAAAAGATAAAAAGATGTGTATAGGTAGTTCTGCTATAAAGCATGTTTCCTTGATGTGAATTGGCTATATTTCGTTAACATGAATTAGCAGTAATGCGATTGATGAATAGCAGATGCTGTTTGTATAACGAAAACTTTCTGCTGTATAGGTTTAGCGATTTCTCTATAATGTGATTTTTCTTATGGCGATTTTCTATAACGCAAGGTCAAACAAGAATGAGACAGTTCTCACAAAAAGTGACAAACTGTATATACTGCCTTTCATAATCACTGGCTGTCACAAATCATTTTACAGTCAGAGAGTGCTTTTGAAGCATAGTCATTGTTGTGCTGTTGCTAATAAGCACACAGCAAGCTCCTACAATGTGATCATAGCCAGATAGTATTTATTTGCTTTCACAATGTTGATTTGAGGGATAAAAATTGTGCAGAACGCCTGAGTGTAACTCTCTTGCACCCCTTTGGAATAGTGCTGGGGATCCCATGTGCTCACCTTAGAGGGCAGTTCCGGCCTTTGTTTCATGTCTTGTCCAAAAGGGAATATCTCCAGCAATGTAGTCCTCCCTCGCTACTGTACAGAAATGTTAGCCTCAATTGCTGAGAACTCGGATCTCTGGGACTTCAACCTAGAACCTTGTGACTCAAAGGTAAAGGTGTTACCAATTGAGCCATAGCTGAAATTTGCATTTTAGAACCGGTCAACTTATTGTATTAATCAATAATAGTGTGCAATCCGTTCAGCAGCATTTAGTAAATTAAGCAATTTCTGACTTTTACTCTACTCACTTCCTTTTCATTAACTTTCAAACTTATTTATATGACCTTTTCACTTGAGCCCCTCTACATTTCCTTTGTTTACAGCCCTTGTGGCCACCTTTTTATCCTTTCATCTAGGACCAGAGTGTTGTAGCCGATCTCAATAGTACTATTCTCTCCTGTCCCAATAACAGTACCAGTGTTACATGAAATGCTTCTTCCCCTCTTCCCCCAGCCTAATCTGTTTAATTCTATGCCAATTTGCGCATCTCACTGATAATAATCTGGAGATGATAGAAAGATTTGAGATGGGGACAAAGAAATCCACTGTAGGTGCAATCTTCTGGAGGGTCTTTCAGTCCAGACACACCTGCTTTATCATATCTTAGTTTAGACTATTTGTAGTAATTATGTTTTCTTTGTGATTTGTAAATTTTGATTTTTTTTTCCCCCTACTGCACACTAACTTGCACAAAGCGCTTTAACACACTTTAAGTTTATGTAAGTCGCAACAAATTTTGGAGGTTAAAAAATAGCCCCACCTACATTCCTACTCTCTCTAAATTTCCAACTTTTGCACTTTATGTAAGACCACTCTGTGTCAACCAATATTTATTTTCGTAAATCTTTTGAGTCACACCTAAATCACAACTATGCACTTGATTTTCTTTTCATGGTAATTTCCTTACTTTCAAGCAATCATTTACTGCTAATTGACAGTTAACTACCATTGGCAAGCATTGCAAAATGATACTATACTTTAAGGAGCATGACAATATTTCAAACAATTTACTTTTGTATCTAACTAGGAAATGGGTCCCAGAAATGTACAAATGTGATTTTTCTGAGAGGAGATGTTATTGCCTTGTCTAATTTTCTTTCCGACACACAGTACCCTTTTAGTACAAACAAACAAGCTACCAAATATTTCTAACTTTCTGACCCGGTGTGATATTGTAATTAACTGTGTCTTTGCATACACAATATGTTGTTGGCAAACAATTATTATGCAACTTAATTTTAAACTGTACAGTGGAATAAATTTGGTGTGGCTTCATCTGTATAGCAGAACTACACAATCTAGGAGGGTCCAAGATCATTTGTCTATCACTGCTGATTTGGCTGATCTTGGCTAGGGTGGGTTCCTACCCACTGGTCCTTGCTGGAATTGTGTATGGAGCTTGGATGAGGGCTGAATTGGCTTTGCTTTGACACCACTGTGGTTAATAGCCTGCAGACAGGTACTGCCTCAAGTTATGCAGTAAACTGAATTATTGTAACAGTCAATTGATGGTGAATCAATCAAGAAGTTAGTGGAGTTAAAACCTTCCAGAAAGGTGATAAGGGGAGAAAAGTGGCATAAATAGTGTGAGGAAAATGTCTTTGAATAAATGTAAGATTTATTGATTTTTGAATTATTATTTATAATCTTAAATATATTCTATATTCATTTCACTAGTCTGACTGATTCTAGGTTTAGATTATTAAAAATGACAATTATGATTAAATTGACTTTGCTGGTGAACTGTGGTGAAACGTTTAATTCTTTTTGAAGTCTGGATTTACATTCCTTAAAAATAAACTACCATTTTGAAGTTTTTAAAATTGCTACTTATTATAATTCAATGTATGTTAAAGCACAATAAGTCTAATTCGTATTTCTGTTACAGAATACTCTGGGCATGCCCATATTCTATTGGCTGCAATGGAAAAAGTAAGTAATAACAAATTTATATCCAATTTTGACTCTGTCAAACTAAACTTATTGCAATGCTAAAAATTGAATCTAATGGATGAAAAACTAATTATATTTTTAGGATGGATTGGAGTGTTATTTATTTTGAGAAATTACACCTGAAAACATGTTAATACCCTGAAGCATTGCCTGTAAACAGTATTTTTCTACCCTTATTACGGTACCTTTCATATCTTTCACTGTTTAATCTCAGAGATTACTATGTCCAAAACAAGCTTCGCATTTGTAACATTGCTATATTGTAGACTAAAATAGTCAAATGATTCTGCATTCTGTAAAAAAAAAGTTGAATTTATTTGTTGATAATGATTACCAATTGTTTTGATTTATATAACTGCGCTGCAGCAACTCATTTTATCCCAGTATCAGCCTAAATGGTGAAATTAAGTATGACAATATATTTTTCCATGACAATATTGTAATCATAACTGAATTTGATTAAATGTAATAATCACTTACTTATTTTTAGCAGCAGAATACATTTAGTTCATGTAATGTCAAATGACTGGCTAGGAGTTTCAACACTCTAAGAAAGAATATTGACAAAGCAGCACTGAATGGAAGTTGTTCTAAAGGTAGAATATCAGTAGCCTATGGAAATCAATGAAAGAAACAGAGTCTTGAATGGTAAATTAGTGAAAAAGATACTGTGCTACAATATTTTTGAACAAATCACAATTGGAACTTTACGACAAAGCAGTGACTAATATATGTATATAAGGTAAACCAGTAACACAGTAGGTTATTCTGGGTCCTTTTATGATGCGTATTAAATCGCAACATTCTGTTTATATGGCTGTGACTTATTGTATTACAACCTCATTTGGAAGTTTTGGACAAAGGCCTGCAGTATTCTGTTTCAGGTAATAAAACTTTCAACAATTTCTATAGAATTTGGTACGCAAAATCTTTGACAGGCTTACATCCATAGTAATTGTTTCCAGGGTGTGAAGAAATGTGACAAATTTTTTGAAAAAACTATTTTCATTTCTGGGCTGATATGTGGTGCTTGGTTGAGCAATTTGCAAATAAAGGTTTCTGTAATGTTGAACGTGTAATGATTGTGGACATGCTCTTTGTTAAAGTAATGGACCTTATTAAAATTTAATTGTGCACTCTGGTATACTTATTAGAAAAATAAAGTGGACAGTGATAACTTTAATGCTATGAACAAGTCTGACCTTGTACTGTATGTCGTGCTAGCTGTCTACATACCCAGCAAAATTATTTATAAGAAATAATATTAAATACTGAATCTCAAGAGTGCTCGGACATTATTCATTCACCTACAACTGTCCTCCATAAATGTTTTCATATGCAGTACCTATGTGGGTTTTACCACCGGATTCAAATTCAAAATGTTGCCCATTATCTGTGAAATTAATGGAGGACCACTTTGCCACAATGTTTCACATATTCAGCATATTTATCCTGCACCTGATTCCACTCCTATTCAATCCAAAGGTCTGTTCATTGAGAGTTTAAAAACGCAAGCTATTTAGTTTGAGTTGTAAAGCAGCAAAAGTTCTCCTCAAATCACGGGAATGCCTCTCTTTGGATGATAGAGGATTTGCTTTAATTGCTACCTTATCTCAAAACGCAACACTAGACAGGCAGCTGATTTCAGCAGAATTAGTGCAGAAAATATTTCAGCTCAGCGATATTTTCCTAAAAATGTAAATTTTTCTGAAGTTCCTTTTTAGAATGGTGCTATTACACAGAAATGTTTCAATTCTGACAGTATATTTGAAGTTGAACACTTTGAAGGAAAAATAATATCTGTCACCTCAAGTGAGGACTTAAATCTTGTCATTTTGCTCTTTTTTTATTACTTACGTTAAAATTACATTGATTTGTAAGAGTTAAATTACGGACTATCGAATAATTTTCTTCATGTACTGTTGATACTATTTTTTATTTGAGCCCCATATTTGAATCCAATTGGGCCTTGATTTTAATTCATATTGTATGGAGATTTAATAACCATTCATGACAGCAGTAGCAGAAAAGAGTTTTATGTTTCCGTTTTGTAAACTCTCCTGAGAAAATGAAATTATGACTTGTGAGAATTTTCTTGCACAAAACAATTGTGCTCTGGCTTTGGGTCATGCCGGTAACTCAGTGAGTTCATTTCATGTTCCAAGCTTCCCTTAGGATTGATTTACAGCATGCTTGAAGGCCCACTATAGTTGACCAAGATTAAAACATTTTTTGGGGAAAAACTAAATTTAGATTGTCGCACCAACTTTAGATGAGAATGTTTTTCAGTTTTAAAATGGGGTTTCCAAAGAGGCCGATCAATTTCTGAAGAAGATGGCAGCATCTCGTAATGCAATTAATATACAGACAATTTCATTGTTTGCATTGACTGTCAGCACTATCACAGAAAATATAGACCAGGCTTTTCTCTAGTACTGACTCCCTTTGTCCCTCTAAACACAGTAATAAAGTAAATAATTAAGTTTATAGTAACTACAGTGTTAGGAAGTTTGGTTACGTAAGATAGCATTTTGTTTCATTTTGTGGTTCAGTAGTTTACATTGTGAAGTAGTTCAGAATATTTCAAAATTCTGTACACTTTTAAATCCGCATACATAGCAGTTTGAATAATGAATTACAGCTTCTCTCCATGCTAGCTGTGTTTATTGTGAATCATAAAGTTGGAAGTTCAAGCCTGACTGCAGAACTTTAGATGCCTGTGCAAGGCGGCAGTATTGATTGTGTGTTTATTTGCAAAACAAGTCCACTGGAGTAGATATCTGATTGGTCTTTGTGGCAGACAAGACAACTCCCTCCTTTCACCATATAGTTTAAATGTATTGTGTAATTTAATCTTGTCAGTGTTGCAGGGAAGCTCCAAAACACTAAGTAACAATACTGCTTTCAGACAGCATATAGGCGTCACTCCCAAGTCAGGAGCACTCAGTGCTTAGTATCAAATCCTGAGTGCACGCTGTACTCTCATCAGTGATCTCAGGGAACACACAATGATGAAGCTACTGATATTAGTGATTGCATAATGTTCATGCTGCTAAATTCAGACAGTAAGGACTGCAGAACAGAAAGATTTCAGTGCAATTTTGACTTCAGAATTGAGATGTTGCTGGACTGGGAACCAGTGAAGACCAACAAGCATGGGGGTGATGAATGGATAGATGTGACTTGCTGAGAGTTGGGATGCATTGAGCAGTGTTTTTGATGAGGCCAAATTCATTGAGGGTGAAAGTCTCAGGGAGGAAGACTGATCAAGAGAACGTTGGAATAGTGAAACCTAATAAATATGCATAATTAATTATAGGTAATGTAATGCATATGGATTGAAACACAGCATATGGTCTCCCTTCTTTTTAAGTGCGACCATAGTTTTATTAATTTCAGCACATAGGGGAAGTCTTTATCCTTGGTATTATTCTGGAAAATTCCTCTGTGTCCCAATGCCTTGATGTCCTCCATCTCTAAGTGTGACACCAAGAAGCAATCGCAATACCCTAGCTGAGACTTAACCAGTAGTAATAAAGGTTTAGAACATCTTCCTTGTTTTTGCATGCTGTGCTTCTATGAATAAAGCCAATGATCCTATAAGAATTTTAACGTCCTTCCCTCTACTTGAAACTTTTCACAGCTCCATCTCACTCTTTCCACTTTTTAAGATGCTCCTTAAAAACTACCTTTTTGAGTGAACATTTGTCCACTTTTCCAAAAAGCTTCTATTTGAATCAATGTCTGATTGTGTTTGATAACAGCAAATGTAAAATGTTACTCTCCAATTCACACCCAGTGCACCAACTTCTGCTTGCTGTTATTGCTACGATGGAGACATTGGGTATAGATTCTAATTATTAGTCTTTAGTGGCATCACTTTCCTCCCCCCGCCATCTCCAGATGCCAAACCATGTGCATGTAATTTGGCTGTTTATAAAAAGAAAGCTAAGCGTAGTTTATAGCAATGCTGAACAGGACGTCATTGTAAAATAAAAATGCTTTTACTTCAAAGGTTCATGCAACATTTAGTCAGCAAGGTATTACACTTGGATCTTTATCCTTGATCTTAACCCTGTCAGGTCTTGTGTGTATACCAGCCAACCTAAGGGTATGAATTGTTCTTTGTTGCTGGATAGTGACTGCTTTGTGTGCAGCTTTGCATGTTTTACTTTGCCACCATCCCAAAAATATGACAAAGTAACCATCTCCGGCAGTTTCTTTAAATAGATTTATTCTGGAACAAAAGTTTAGGGGTGGAGCAATCTGTTGACTGTAATAAACTTTACTATGCCCAGTGATTAGTCAGAGTCAGGAAGCATGTCAACAGTTAAAAAGGAAAGGGTTCACGAACACATGATGGAACTCAATCCAGCACACAATAATAGCAGAAAACCGAATCGGAAACTTCATCAGAGATAGTAGGAACTGCAGATGCTGGAGAATCTGAGATAACAAGGTGCAGAGCTAGATGAACACAGCAGGCCAAGCAGCATCAGAGGAGCAGGAAGGCTGACGTTTCGGGCCTAGACCCTTCTTCAGAAATGTAGCAGCTGATGGCTAATCCAAATTTCCTAGCTATGGAAAACAGCCTCTCTTTCTGCATCCTGTGGATCCTGTTCAGAATCTTGTATGTTTCAACAAAATCTGCTCTCGTTCTTTTACACTTCAAAGCATGTAGGCCTCATTGACTTGGACTGTCATTAAAGGACCATCCTGTCATCCTGGGAACTGATTCACTGAACTTTTGTTGCAATGCCTTCATTACAGGTATTTCCTTTTTATAATGAAGTTCAAACCCTGCACAGTATTCTAGTATGTTCGCACAAAAGCCCTATACAATTTGTAGTGAGGCTTCCTTGTTCTTATAGCCTAATTCCCTTGTAATAAAGGCCAACTTGCTATTATATTTCCTTTACTGCTTTTTGTATATATGTGCGAACTTTGTATTCCTTGCAAGGGTACACCCAATTCCTCAGATCATTAATAATTACAAATTTGAAGCCATTTCAAAATAGTCTGTTGAGGTGGTATGTATCTTGAGGTGTAATTTGTTTGGAGGAGTACCCCCCCAAGGCCCCATCTGTATAGATGCACGAGATCCCTTGCCTTATTTTAAGAACAGATGACTTCTCCTTGTATCCTGATCACTGTTTATCTCTTGGCCAATATCAGCACAGTAAACTAACTGACCACTGATCCGATGTGCTGTTTGTGAGACCCTGGAATTGCCTACCTGATGCTCCAAAATATATCATAACTTCTCATGGAATCATAAAATACATTGCAGGAAGAGATCATTCAGCCCATTGAGTATGCACTGATCATCCAAAGACCCAGCCACCCCACGCTATCCCCGTGACCCTGCATTTACCATGGCTAATCTGCCTAACCTGCACACTATGGGGCAATTTAGCATGGTCAATCCACCTAACTGCTCATCTTGGGATGATGGGAGGAAACTGGAGCACCCAGCAGAAATCCATGCAGACACTGGGAGAATGTGCAAATTCCACACAGGCAGTCACCCGAGGCTGTAATTGAACCCCAGTCCCTGGTGCTGTGAGGCAGCAGTACTGACCACTGAGCCACCGTGCGATCCTCTTCTCACCAGATTCTGGAGCTATTTTCCATTTTCTTCCTTTGGTTGATGATTGAGTCAGTCTTGTTCATTTAAGATGCTGCATTTTTAAAGATTCTTAAGTGGACTCTGCTGGCAAAATGATTAATAACCTTGATCTGAGATGCATCCATTTTGAATCTCTGCTGCTGAATTTTCTTATTCCTCTTTCTCATCTCCTAGCAAGCAGCAATAGAACCTTTCATTTTCAGCAAATAGGAACAGGAAAAGGCCATTCATCCCCTCAAGCCCATTCTGCCATTGTGAGATCATGGCTGATCTGTGGCTTAACTCTATCTACCTATCTTTGGCCCATTTCCCTTAATACCTTTGCCTAACAAAACAAAATCTACTTAAGATTTAAAATTAACAACTGATCCACCATCAGCTACTGTTTGTGGAATAGAGTTCCAATCATCTGTCACCCTTTATATGTAGAAGTGCTTTCTCCTGGACAGTCAGGCCCTAATTTTTAGACTATGCTCCTGTAGTTCTAGAATCTGCGACTGGTGAAAATAGTTGATCTTTATCTAACCCGCCTTTTCCTATTCTCATTTTGAAGACTTTGATCTGCTCACCCCTTAACCTTATAAATCCTGGAGAAAACAGGCCTGATTTGTATAATCTGTCTCCATAAATTCTCGCCAAAATTATGTGCAGATCCTCCCAGACTTCAAATCTATTTTTAAGACAATTTTTTATTCTCAGCCACCTATTGATTTATTTGGGTAGATTTTTATTTATAAGATTTGCACACTTAGAAATACGGAACTAATTTTGGAACATTTGTCTGACTTTTACAAATGGAGAAATCAGCTTTCTGATTTAATGAAGTTCTACTAATTGTACGGCTATTACTTTGCAAAGCAATACTGAAATAGAATCATAGATCATAGAATCCCTACAGTGTGGAAACAGCCCTTTGGCCCAACAAGACCACACCAAGCCTCAGGTCATCCCACCCAGACACCACCTCCGATAGTCCACCCAATCTACACATCCCTGAACACTACAGGCAATTTAGCATGGCCAATCCTCCTAGCCTGCACATCTTTGGACTGTGGGAGGAAACCAGAGCACCCGGAGGAAACCCACGCAGACATAGGGAGAAAGTACAAACTCCACACAGACCGTGGCCCGAGGGTGGAATTGAACCCGGGTCCCTGGTGCTGTGAGGCAGCAGTGCTAACCACTGTGCTACTGTGCAGTCAGTCAGTCAGTCCGTCCGTTGGTCGGTCGGTCGGTCGGGTGTGCGGGAGAGTGAGACATACGTATACATGTATGTGTGTGTACATATACCTTACTATCACTAAGCATTTCAAGACAGTTACAGTTAAGCCCAGTCATTCCCTCCTAACCCATCTGTAATGTAACTATAGTGTATGAATAAAGTGCGTTTTGTTTCAAGACCGGTAGTTTGACCAATAGAAGTGCATCTGGAACACAATACCTGGCATTTGCCTGTTAAAAAATATTAAAATGGTAGGGCCTAGGCTATCATATATTTTGAGGGGGTTGGCCTGGTCCACACCACATGCAAATATTGGAAATGTAGGAAGTAAAGTTGCATTGAAGTTCATGCAGTAAAGCAGTTTTCCTGCTCATTAAGTTTGAGGACGTTTTCCACTCTTTCAGCAGCAGTCCACCATGAAACTTTATTAACCTGCTCCAACATCATCATAACTTTCCTTGAACTTTAGGTTAATGAGAGAAAAACAGTGTACCTACATCAGGAACCTTATGTGCCCCGTCTGCTGTTGCAATGGATAGTTCCTCCTGAGTTGGTAATAGCCAGCTGTCTATGGACTTAGATCTTTGCTAAGTCTGTATTTACATGTCGACTCGACTGTGGGAAGGCATAGTTTGCATTTTTGACACAGTGAGTAGTTTTACATGAATAATCATACGTACTAAAATGGTTGAAAAAGATCTTCCACATTGCTATTTATACACCATCTAGAATTCTCTTAATTGGCATTAGTAGGTTTATTTTAAACCTAGCTTGCTGATGACTTCATTCGTTTATTTTGCAGCACGTTGATGGAAGTTTTTCTGTGAAGCCATTAAAGCAAAAGCAGATTGTAAGTAACCTGTAAACTTCATGCTGTCGCAATAGTGATGAACAAGTTCGTTGAACCAGAACTGAATTATTTATGTGCAGGAGCCAGAGTTCTCCACAGCCCTTCAGAAAGCTGATGCTTGATTGCTTTTCCCTCCCGTTCAACTTCATTCTTGCAGGACTCATTTGAGGGTCATTGTCAAGGATGCAACCAGGGAACAGGTTGTTGACTCTGGATGCACAGTTCTCTGGCAGTATGGTGATGAGGCCCAGTAACTAATTTTAATTGTAGTTTCACCTTCTGGTATGTGTTTATTCCCACACAGGCCTGTAGACCAGTCATATCAACTTTCTGTGGAATCGCAATGCAATGTTTGATCCAGTGATCTTTCATAGCATGGTTAGGGCAGCATAGGAGACCATTTGGCCTCTAGTGTCCATGGCAGCTCTCTGCAAAAACAATTTAGTTACTTAGGCTCTTCCATCCTTTCCCCAGAATCCTGTAAATTCCTCCTCTTGAAATATTTATCCAGTTCTCTTTGGAAATCACAGTTGCACACTTTCAGGCCATGCATTTCAGATCCTGACCGCCTACTTAATTTTAAAGAGTTTTTCTCCCTGTTGCTCCTTTTGACAATCACCTTAAATCACCTATCTGTCATTCTTAATGCTTCTGCTAATAGTAAGAGTTTATCTTTATCCACACTATCTAGACCCCTCGTGATTGTGAACACTTCTACCAAATCCCCCCTCCACCTTTTATCTGAGGATGATAACCACTGCTATTCCAATGTAGCCACAAAACCAAAGTCCCTCATTCCCAGAAACATTGTCATTTTCTTTTTCTTTTTCCTCCTTTGCGCCCTTTTTAAAATCTTTACACCCTTCCTAAAATGCAGCATTCAGAATTGGATATATTACTTCAATTGAGTGAGTGCTTTATGAAGAGTCAACGTAGCTTCCTTGCTTTTGTATTCCATGTCTTTATTCATAAAACCTGGGATCCCCTGAGCCTTTTTATCTACTTTCTCGACCTTTCTTGTCAAGTTCAATGACTTGGACGCATACTTCCTTTGACCCAGGTGTTGGGAAAAGTCTTTATTTCGTGCAATGTACCTTTAAGGCCACAGTGGACCAAGGACTATTCTGAAAGAGGGTTCAGTGATTTCTGATTATAATATCATTTAAGTTCCAAGAAATACTCATATGACCTAAGGTTGGCGTAGAGATGAACAGCTAAAATGCAAAAGGTAAATTCAAAAACGGAGTTTAGTTGTGCTACAACACCAGGAATACTTCCTGCAACTTCATAGACACAGTATCAAGCTGCAGTGAATCAGTTTGTGACTTTAATATTTTTCAACTGGAAAAGCATTCTAAATTAAGTTTTGAGAAGAAAAGTGGAACCTGGCATTTCAGAATAAATTAAAACCGAATTGTGTTAAATTTAAACTGTTCCTGAGAATGTTCTGTTCACTTGTCAGTCAGTATTGTTAAAGTTCTCAGTGCACAATGGTAAGTTTAAAAAAAAATCATTGCCTAATATGGGGTTTGAGACCATGACTTTAAACTGGACAGTCTCATTAAATACAACTGAGCTAGCTGGGACCTGTCTCCACAAAGCCTTTCTAACTTGTTTCAGAAGATTGCAGCTTAAAGCTGTAATTACTGTTTCCATTTTGTATAACAGTGATGTCTTACAAATGCAATTTTATGCCCAAAGATACAGTTGAAATCTGATGTGAGATTTGATGCTGTGCAACCAGCCCATGCCATTGATGCTGCTGCTGCAGCATGAAAAGATCTCGGGATCAGTTGATGACAGACAGTTCAGAATGGGAATTAGAGAAAACAAACAAGGTTCTCACCAAACTGTTTAATTTTTGCCAGACCCTGGTTTTGAAGCAGGAATTTTATGGAGGCAGAAAGTCTGAGTCACCAGCTGCAGAGCCGGTATGAGTCTTGCATTGTCTATTTTCTGGAAGGTTGCCACATTTTGCTCCGTAAATTAACTTGTAAGGCCTGTCGCTGGCCTATCCCAAGATCAAGGATAAGGCCTTTGACCACTAGTTGCCCACTTAAAGGCTTCAGTTGGCAGTAGGCGGAAAGGCTGCCCACATGAAAGCAAAGTTAAGGTTGTAATGTGCTTTCTCATCCTTAAAACTAAGAATATTGCGATTCTTGGATTTATGAAGGTTCTGTTGGTGGTTTGGCCCCGATTTCAGTGCATTGGTCTCTCCTTTAATAAACTTATTGAAGAGGAATTCCGATTTACCTGGTCTGAGTCCTTTCAGATGGCCTTTAAGACATTAAAGTCTGTTTATTGCACTAAAAGATATAATGTGTTATCTCGTCCATCGGCTTTCTTTCTGTTGGTTTTGTTGGAGTTATCTGTTCCTGTTGCTTTAGTATTCTGTCTTTTCTATCACCTCTTTTCTTTCTTCCCACCAACTTATATGATTTCACACTTCTCTGCATTAAATTTCATCTACCATGAGCCTGCTGAAATTAGTTTTTATCTACTCAGTTCTCCTATGTGGAAATCTAGATAATATGAAAATAAAATGCAATTTTGGTTTAAAGTTACTTTTTGTTTTGGGTCAAAAAGTAGAAATAAAAATAGTAGCTTGGAGAGAAATTTGGACCTCGTGGTGTTCCCACGCATCTGCTGCTGCCTTGTTTGTCCAGGTGGTGGAGGTTATGGCTTTGGAAGACACTGTCAAAGGAACCACAGTGAGTTGCTGTCGTGCACCTTGTAGGTGGCATACATTGCTGACTCTGCATTGGTAATAGAGTGAATATTTAAAATGGTGGAATGGGTGTCAATGACTTAATTGTGAATTAAATTAATCTGTTACAAGAAAATGTTGATTTAATAGCACATTTAAAATATTTCCTATTCCTAGCTTGTTTTAAAAAGGATTGTCCTGTGCTTCTGGCATAATAAAGTAAAAAATGCAGTATAAAATGTTACAAGGATATTCTAATTAAAGGAAAACAATGGTGAATTCAATCAGTAAATTTTCTTTTGAGCAGTACCAAAAAAGGACACAGTGTCAAAGCTTTCTATCTTGCACTCATCAGGACAATTTGCAAGAGTACCTTTTCTAGGGAAACACCAACATTCATTCTGCTGGAAAAGAGAGTGCTGGTTTGTTGGCAGTTGAACTCTGGTAAAGGCATTGTAATGAACAATGCATCCACTAATGCTGATTGAAGAAACTGCAAGGGTTTTGTTTAAATTTTTAAACCAGGTTTAACTTTGGTTAGGGTATTGCCTGAAAAGATGAACTAGGAAGCGGTAGACGCCTGCTTTGTTGAGTGAAACAGGTGCAATGCATGTACATGTTCCTTCTTTCTTCAAATACCAATTATTAATATGTTTATTGATACATGTAACTTCCTGTACATACAAGTATGCCCCACTGTGCGCTCAACTCTCAGTCCTAAATTTGTAGCAGTGTACAATCTCGCACGTTGAAGGGCATCCAAGAAGCATTGTCCAGTTGCAGAATTGCATCTAATGTTCAACACACTTGTGAATTTTGCAAACATGGGATGATTAAGTACAGTCAGTATTTTGTTGCAAATAATCAAAGGGGTATATTGCTTGATTCATTTGGAATGTACAGCTTACATGCCTGTCATCACACCAGCACTAGAAATTCACATACCATTTGTGTGAAGGACCAAATATCTCTTTGGCTTGATGGCAGCCTTGTTACCAATGAACACCAACATTTCCCCTTGAATCGGTTTTCTTGTGAGTTGACCTGATGATTGCAAAGCAGAAAGCTTTGACAAAATGTGACGACTTTCAGCAATACTCAAAGGTTTTGTTATTCAGTTTAATTTTTTACTTGAATATGTGATTTGGGCAGTGGTCCTAAACACACAGTTCATTTTAGCAGAGACAACAAGGTGTAGAGCTGGATGAACACAGCAGGCCAAGCAGCATCATAGGAGCAGGAAAGCTGACGTTTCGGGCCTAGACCCTTCATCATTTTAGCAGTTGGGAGCACTATTTCTTGCAGTTATTATTAGTCTTTGCCAGCAGTGAGAGGCATGTCGTGAGGGAGAATATAGACTGAGACTTAAATTTCTAAACTTCGGTTGTCTCTTTTTATTGTGTGGGATATCCTTAGTACACACCCCTTTGTTAGGAGAGAATCGTATATTTATAATGGTGTTTGTGTTATAAAACTACCACATCTTAGGTCTCAGATGCTTAATTTTAAAAGCATTTATGGGGCATTCTGTCTATTGGACAATGTTCCCTCTGTTATGCTTCTCAAACACTGGCTTCTGTAATGTTTACTATGTGGTTAGAAATCTCAGTGCTGTACTAAGCACTAATAAAAATGTATAACTACACAGGAAATTTCAAGTTATAGTTTACAATGTTAGCGAGCTAGGCAGTATCAAATGTCACAGTGTTCTTTATGATGTTTTGAGAAATGAGATTGTAAAATTGTTTAAATTCTAAAAACGTTAGATGCTTAAGTAGACTTGGAGGTTTGCTTTTAACTGGCAGAATGTGCTAAACTGCACATTTAATTACATTTGGTACTTACAAATTTTAAGTAGGATGATATGTTTTGAATGTTAGTTTGTCCACATTAAATAAGGAAGAAAGAAAACACAGGATTTATTCACAGGACCTAGGCATTGCTGGCCACAAGTGTTTTTGTCCATCCCTAATTGTCGTTAAAATGATGGAGCTGCCTTACCTGCCTGAACTGATGCAATTCCTTTTGTGTAGGTAGACCCAACAGTACCGTTAGCGAGGGGTTTCTTGAATGTTGCCCTAGCGACGGTGACGGAATAGTAATATAGTTCCAAGTCAGGATAGCATGTAGCTTGGAGAGAAATATGGGCCTAGTGGTGGTCCAATCTACTGCTGCCTTGTTCATCTGGGTGGTGGAGGTTATGGGTTTGGAAGGCACTGTCAAAGGAACCCTAGTGAGTTGTTGCAACGCATCTTGTAGGTGGCATACACTGCTGACTCTGCATCGGTGATGG